TGCGTGAAGTATTCGTGCAGTCTTGTAGGCGTTAATATGTGTTACATGCCGATTGTCGCGCCGAGGGCTTCTCCTTTTCATCTCAAGTTCTCGTCATCATTTCTCCCTAAGTCGCGCCGTTCCAGGCCAAATTGTGTGTTTGGTTTCTCTCTTGACTCGACTAATTAAATGTGCTGTCTCTTGTATCACTGAAAGACGACAAAATGATAAATTACTATACTCTCAGGAAATGAGAGATTTTTTAGCCTTTTCTCGTTTGTAATTTTTTTTCCAAATCCGATTTTTTTTTATACCTACATTTAAAAAAATTGCAAAATTTGCCGCCCCCTAGATTTTCCGCCATGGGCCGCGGCCCATGTGGCCACCTCCTTAATCCGGCCCTGAATATGAAAAACAATAAACAACATAGGTATAATCGTGGTATCATGAATAACCTCCAAATATTTAGTACGATCGTATTTAGTTAGCATATCGGAAAAAATTGTCATAAGAACGCACAGAACTCTGTTTGGCGCTGTATTTGGAAACGAGATCAACATTCGATATTTTTGCTTACATATTAGGCATATTACTATTGGCATTTATAATTGGAAAATTATACATTTTCACTTAGTGGATGTTATATTCCCTTTTTACAAATTGTCCTCTAACGTGGGACTTTCCCCAATCTTCTCCTTATTCCTTTCATCCGACGTTTTTTCTGAAAAAAAAAAAAAAAAAAAAAATACTGGGAGAAAGGCTCAATTTATGAAATTCACAGTTCTAAATCAATTTTCTGAGGTGATGCCGATGTCAAAATATGTAGTTCAAATTTGACGCATGAGCTAATGAGAACTGAACACCACTAAGCTTCCGATCTATTAAGGGTCATTTACAGGAGGAAAATCATAGACGATAAATTATTGGTTTCAGCATAAACTACGAGCGCCATCGCTGCGTCATGGGAGTTCACTTGTTCGTGATAACAGCTCAAATACACGTATAAGTGCATGTTCTATAGTGTATTTACTAAACATGGCATGAACGGGAGGTACATTCCTATATTTACCTTCCTCCGCTGTTTTTTGACGGAGGATTCGTGTGTTTCAAATCGAACCAAGTGGCGCCTTTGAAGTTGTTTCCATATCATTATATACACATTCTCCTCGCTTTGTAAGAAAACATCGCGGTTATACATTCATGAGGCGTAATGCGATTATTCTACTCTCTGACCGTTTTTTTCTTTCTTTTTTTAGGTAGGTACCTACCCTGTGCGATTTGTTGAGAAAACTAAAAGAATCACTGAAAAGAAAAAGAATCTTAAATTTGCCGCCAAGAAGTATTTTTTCTTAAATCAAGACTTTTGCTGCTTAATATAAACTATTCTTTTGCTTAGCCTAAGCATTATTGCTCTTGTATCAAGAAAAATTCAGCTTAAATCAAGATGAAAAATTATTGGCGGCAAATTCAAGAATCATCATGCTTGAGCCAATCACCTTTTTTCAGTAAATGACGTTGAAATTTCTCGAGAGTCAAATTTCGATCAAATAAAATTTCAAACCGAGGAACTAGGTAGTTAAAATGCACCTGCTTTAGTTCTAATAATCGCAAAAAAAGTATAAGTATTTCTCTCCGAAGCAACGAAATTAAGGCGCAGAGTACATTTTTTCAGAGGAACTATTGTCTTCGAGTTTGGTTACGGTTTATCTTGTTTAATTGGTATGTGTAATTTCAAGATGATCCGATAATTTTGATTCCAACGCGATGCGCATGGCGAAGTAGCACTGAAAATAGCTTTTTCTCAAAATAATGTTTTTTTATTTGATTCAAATTTCTGATTTAACATTTTTTTGTATTTTTTTTGTCTTAATGTCCTATAGATATTCCTCAAATTGGTATGGTTCCAAAAGCTATATTTGAAGTCATTCGACACCATCAGTCTCCCTGCTTTGGTGAAAGTCACACTCTTTAAACTCATCAAAATGAGAAAATTCGAGGGAAATTTTTTTTTTGCCAAAGCAATTTACTTGGAGTATGACATTTTGCTGCAAAGAGCTGTTTCATTGATAAAAGTGTTTTTTTTTCTTTTCCATGATGTAGGCTAAGTCAAAGAGGAAAGTCATTTTGAATTATTTTCCTTTTTATCATACTATGACTATAGATTTTTGCAAGAATTTATTGGAATAATGAGTCATTTATTAAGACAATGAGTCATTTTTCAAGAATATTGAGTCATAATTTTGATTCTATTTAATTACGATTTGTCATGCCATGCCACTCAATTCAAATATTTTTTTGGAATGAAGCGTCTTGTCGTGACGGAAAGAAATGCGGGTTTCACTTTTCGTCGTGCGCTCTGAGCACTTCCGTAGCTAAAATCACTCAAAACGAGGCATCAATAATTAGCAATTGTCGGTAATCTATGAAATTTTCGACGAGAGCTATTTTAGGTTATTTTAAGCCAGGAATACATTAAGGTAATGCTTTGATTCATATCACTTGAGCACATCAGAGGACAAATATAGGTAACAATACAGACTGGGAGAAGGGGAAAGACTAAATATTGACTTTTGAAGCAAGTACCGAATAAGAGGACAATGCACTTGATACGTAAACACACCCTTGAGCCACTCTCATCTTTAATGCCGGAGTCTATTGAACGATAGACATGTACATGCGAGCTTTATTCTCTGCTTAAAGAATTCCCTTATTTCCGCATGGTGTCTTTACTTTTTCATACCCCCTCAACACAAGGAGAAAAAAACTTTGGTTACAAGGCCCAAATTTCGGCTCACATAGAATACCAATAAAGCCTCCGGCCCAGATAATCGAAGTTGTCGGTAAAACATGTTTCTCAATACGGCTAATGAAATATATTCGGTATCCTAAAACGATTTTCAGCTCTCCTGACAACAAAGTAAGGTTACTTGAATCAAATAATTTGGTGTTCGCGACGTAAACCGGAGCTTTTCTTATAGTGCGTATTATTCTTATAATTAAAACTAGGAGCCTTTGTTCATTTCAAACTACCGAAAAATGCAAAAATCAATAGATTTTAGGTACCAATGATGTAATTTTAATGATTACCTATGTTGTAAGCAAGGCTTAAAATTCTTGCATGAGTGATTTTAACTGTATTGAAAATTCTAGAAACTGAATATATTCAGCTTCAAAATAATCGTAGGAAAAGTCAGAAAATTCCCAGTTTGAAACCCCGGTGTACCTATCATTCAAGTTATCGATTTACATACTTAGAGATATTTAATATTCAGTCAATTGTTCAGAAAAGTTCAACAAAGACTCCTCACGATTAGACTTCACAAAACAGAGGATTACTAATTATAAATCCATAACACCTATAATTTCGATTTGAAATGTTGAGCTACTGTTAAATATTGGGAGGCAATTTTGCTGTGGCCATTGTGAGAATTTTTTGGGGAACGTAAAGGCATTGATGCTTTGGCCCTCACAGCAGGTATTTTGAATAACGAATATACATAACTCCGTGGAAGCATCGAGAGGGAATTGATAAATGATCATTTTCGTCAAGTTTTAGAGATATACTGGCATGTTCACACGTTTACTATACACGAGGGGACGTTTTTTTATGTTTTAGGTGGGAAAACTTTTAAGTTTTTTTTTAAAGAAAAAAAAAAAAAACACTTAACAATAATTTGACTGGTTGTACTATGTGTAGCAACACACACAATAATTCGGTTTATTTCCGAGGGTTTTCTCCGAGGATGTCCTCGGATATCGATCTTCATTCCCGATCATGAGGCCTAATGTATTTACGTTTTGAATGAAGCACTCCATCTTTGTCAGGGCGGAAGGAGGGGTCGAGGATTTGTCAAGTTGTAATATTCGCCAACAAAGGGTAATGCACTCGGTGGATTGTAACACAAGTTGCCAAGCACCCTCCGTTGTCCATCCCTCATAAGCTGAATGGGCCATCATCGAGGAGAGAGCCAGCTGATGGATGCCTCATAACAGCCTCTGTTCTCTCCCCATCTCGGCCTTAACATACTCTTTTCGGCGCCCTGAGGTGTGCTCCCGGCCGCTGCACGTGACCTCGCGTGATTGATTAGAATAAGCCCCCGATCGGATCATATTCTATGCTGGGTGACTCCTCTACGATGAGATATGGTTCAAGACGATCGATGACGTCCCTTAATAAAATAACGATTGGGATTTTGATCGATTTTCGAGTTGTTTGAGCCGGAGTTTTTTCCTCTGTTTTTTGCAGTTTATTCGGCTTCTATTCCTGTTTATTTGGAATCTTATGTCGCAATCACACGCTGAATGTAGGAGCTGAATGTGGCTTGAATGTAGAAGTCATCGGCCCGATGCCTGAATTTTGCGCGTCCAGCAACGATTCTCAGCGATCATCGGATAATGTCGGATTTGTCTGGACTATTCGAATAGATTTGATACACATTTGGATAAAAATAACTCGAATTAGTGAAATTTACGCTGATGAGCGCTGACTGTTGACTACCACATTCAGCTGCCAAATTCAGCGTGTGATTGCTGATTGTGGCACCAGGAATCTACAGCCGTGTATTGGCATGAGTTTCAACATAGATATTATTTTTTTGTCGATAGACATCAGGGGGATTTTGGCACATCCATGCTCCGGCTTTCAAATTTTCAGGGATTAGGGTCGAGTAGAATTTGTTTCTGCAAATCCACTCGTCAGTTCCGTAATTTGTCGCCACCACCGGGATTCGAACCCTGGACCTATTAGTCTAGAGCCAGACATGCTGACCGCCAGGCTAACCTGGCCGGCGAGCCGGAGTTTTCCATCGACATCGTTACTTATTTTTGTACGAAAGCTTTAAATACATTTTATCGACATAAAACAGCTTTATATTTTCTGTTTTGATCAGGTATAGTTTCATCGAATTTCATCTCAATCGAAAGTTTTTCAGTGATTTGCCGGAAAAAAATTGAAAATGCGCATTGCCAAAGTCCAAACTAAAAAACAATCATGAAAAATAGAAAAAAACCATGACTCTCACCATAAGTGATAACTTCGCCCCTTTCTCTGGTCCAATATGATATTGATTTAGGATATGCCTCTGAATGGCATTCTAAGACTAGTCTTTGGCCCTGGTACGCAGCAACCAGCTGACTTTGTATCCAAATCATTGGAGGAACTGCAAAAAAAAAAGCGTACCAGAGGATTGAAACGAGAAAACATTTAGTAGTTTAAAGGTATTTTTGAGCAGTAACATCAGTATAACTACATCAGAGGAAGATAAACTGAAGGCCACGCCACAATAAATAACGATAAAATACAAAAACATAGCCCGAATAAACGAATAAATAAGAATGAAGTTAAAGCATGGGTAAACGAGGCTAAAACATTAAAATCACTAAAAAACAGGACATTTCGAGCTGTTACCAGCTCATTCTCAGCTGCAAAAAACACAAAAAAAGAAATACAAATTGAGTGGCGACCTGACTCCAGCCGTTATCCTCCAGTCGTTAGAGTGGTTACGTGATAATGGCTGAGGTATGGTCACCACACAATTTTTATTTATTTTTTTGTGTTTTTTTTCCAGCTGAAGATGAGCTGGTAGCAGCTCGCAATGTCCTGTTTTTTTAATGTTTTTATTGTTCTAGCCTTGTTAACCCATGTTTTAACTCCCCTCTTATTCATTTGCCACAATAAATATACTTCCTTTTCATTTAAATGCATACTATTCTTCCGTGACATCGTTAAAATTAAAAATTGAAATATATTTGGGTTGGCGTCACTGTTAAAGTTTTTAACTGAAAGTGTTTTATCTTAAAACGGTTTACGTCGGTTAACCTTAGGTAGGTTAATAAAATAAGGAATGATAAAAGTGTCATCCTAATTGAAAGAAGGTTTCATTGTGTAAAAATTGAAAAGAGATGTTCCAAAGCTTTAACTAACTTTTCAAAACGGCTGAGCTTAGGAGCAGTAAGAGTGAGGGTTGGCACGGAGAATTTGCTGAAAAGGTAGAGGTAAGATTAGAGCCGAAGCGTTTGTTTCATTTAAGTGGTCTTAACAAAATTAGATGACCAACGGGCATTGTGGATGAGGAGCCTAAGTAAACGAAGTGCTACTCACACTCAACGGTAAGCATTATTCGTTTGCTGACGGAAGGCGGGACTCCGTTGGAGGCTATGCACATGTAAGGTCCCATGTGGAGGCGATTCACCCTGGATATGTTGAAAGTTGGTCCTTCCACGCTGAACACTGAGAACAAAGAACGAAGAAAAGGCTGAATAATACCTCATATGCTTAAATCAGGTTAGCTCGTTCGACACTGGAGCCCGCTCTATTAAATGAATCATGGCTCGAGGCCTGTTGCCAAATTCTGGGTTACTATCTTGCAGGAAAAACAAGGGTTTCAGTTTCAGGGAAATCAAGTTAAAAATACTCGGTTTAGCCTTTCAAGCTTCGAAATCAGGTTTACAGTAACCAACCCTCTTTAAATGTATGTGTTGCAGGCAAATAGTCAAATCAGGCATTTTTTTAAATGCCCAGGCAGATAGTCAAATTTTCAGAGCTTACAAGATTTTTTATGTTTTCACAAAGACCTCTCGACTTTTCGATATTTTGAGAGTAATACTCCATCAAAGTACAGACTATCATTGTATTTTTTGTTAAAAAATGCTCCGCTCATGTCCTCAACCGTCGAAATCGTGAAAAAGCTTTATTTTATAGAATATTGCATCTGTTTCGAGATAAATAAGCATTTAAGGACTAAAAAAAAACATATTGTACATTATCTGAGCAGAGAATTTTTTCTCTTACCAGAGAATCATTTTGTCTATTCAGTTAGCAAAGTAATCAGAATTTCAGTCTGAGTAAGAGGATATTTGACGATTTGCCTAAACATTTGATGAAATGCCACTCACCGAGAAAAATGTCAACACAAAAGTTTGGTTAATATAGGAAGTAAAACACAAAACAATCCTAACCCTTGGTTAACAGTTTCAAGAGGAAATGCCAGCTAGTTTTCTTAAGGAAATGTAATAAAAAAAACGAGTGGTGAATGCCAACGTTGCAATCGGAGGAATACATGTTCCCATAGTCTTTTCATTGTTCTCTGCACTAAATTCACTGCAAACTTTCCCAAAATCAACACATAAATTGTGTCGGTTTGTGTACTTTTCCTACATTTGCCAAAATTAACACAATAACACAAATATTTTTATCAGTGCTAATTTGACTATTTAATTTCCTGCGATATATCTATATATTTGAAGTGAAAAATAATGATCACGTTAAATATTTAATAAACTCCTAAAGACTATCCTAGGAAGAGTGGGTGGAAAATGGCAAGTTTGGGTTAAAATTTGCAGGACGGTGGTTGATACGAAACTCAAAAGAACACTGCCGTGCTAAGGAAGAACTTTGTATGAACATTCGAGAGTTGTCAAATTTCCCTTGATAAAATGTTTATTTTTGAGGAGCATTATGAATATTTTTCCTTGAAATTTTCAAGAAATTTTCAGGAAATTTAGGTAAAATTGCTAACAAAATTATCTAAAAAAATGAAAGGAAAATATTCATAAGTTTAGGAGGAAATTTGTGCTTTATCAAAGGAAATTTGGCAACGCCTGAAGGTTCATACGGCGTTTTTCCTCATCACGGCATCAGAACACGAGGCCGAAGCGCCTTCGCATATGAGCGCGAGTCTCCGGGATCCATCGTTCACTTTAACAACAGTTTTATGTTTGTCAGCCCCGTGCAGGTCTCATACGGGTAAAATTACTCAGGTGTAAACACTTTCATAAAAGCGCTCGAATTCCGGCGAGCTGAAGGCGCGAGAGGAAAAAAGTCTACCTCGTCAGGTTCATGAACTTAATAAAAATCTACACATCGGCGCTGACAAATATAAAATAAAATATTCATTCGCCCTTTAATAAGACTTTCGTAATTCCTGATTCTCCATTGTGAGCGACGGAATACGTGTTGCGAGGGCCCGGGGGATGAAAAAGGGGGCAGGGGGCCTCGTAACCCCGCGAACAAACACGCGGCGCGCACTATTCTCCCGCCCGGGCGCTCTGCGTCTGCGGGCCGTATTTTAAAATTGAAGAATGGAGCGAGAAATCCGACGACACTAGCTTCAATTTGCCACTTTTGCCCGGGAGCTCTCAAGTTCAATATTGCGCTCGGCGAAAATTCAAATCTGAAATTAAAAGCCGCTCTGCTTTTGTGTTTTCTCGGGGGAGCCCTTTTGGCACTGGTGGAGACGTGGGCTTAAGTTAGTTTCGGCGGAAAAAAGGATGTAGTGATTGTAGGAGGAAGAAAATGTGGCAATGGATGTCTTGACTCACGCAATCGTCAAGCCTTCTTGTCGCAGCATCAAGTCAGGTCATAAAATTGATTTAATAGTTATGCAGAAATGAAGAGCTCTTATTAGTGCACACGGTGCGAATTGGAGATATTTATGCTCAAAAGGACTGTAAGTAAATGAATTAAATCAAAAGGAACTATGGTACCTATGCATAGGTAGATCAAAAGGGGGTGTAGGGGGCTAACGCCCCCCATTTTTCCCAAGAAAAAGAAATAAGGAAAAGGAAAGAAAGATAAGAAGGAAGAAACGGAGGAGAAAAAAAGGAAGGACGCCTACATTTGGTGCATATTCATGAACAAATTTACTGAAACTGCATTATTAGATGCTTTAAAATTTCGAAACCGCCTACTTATCATGGGACATCCTATATACATCAGTCTCGTCTAACAGAATATCGTCTAATTTATTATACGACCTTGTCAATATGATCACCCGACTTCATATTAGGTATATGTTTATAAAGACTCGGTAAATGCATTGTAATTATTCAGTCAAATCTACTGATGAGTGAACTTGCTTGATGCTTTTATGGACTCTCCCCTTTTCAAGTTAATCAATGTGTTAGTTTTTTTAAGAGCGATTTCTATCTTTTTACTCATTCTTTAAAATTTACTTTAAAATAAGTTAAGAGAAACAAGAATTCTGGAATATGATAAGAATCGATTTAAAATCCTCAAACATCGAAAACTTAAGATAGTAGATGTTTGATCCTATTTACGTGCAAAATGGTATTTTATTTCAATGAACTTTCACGACTTTCATGCTCTCTTCAAAGAACTAAAAATCTACGGCATCATCATAGACAAACTCTGTGAAGCCTTCATACTGTTTAACATCCTAAATGTGCTATTTTTTGTCTTCTGCTCCTATAAAAGAATTCTATCTTTCTTTCATGCAACTTGTGAATACTTAGAGCTCATTTTTATAAACTCCAGCTTCCATGTGGACCTTTCCCAAAAAAAAAAAAAAAATGGAGAAAGAGAGGAAAAAGAAAGTACGCAATTAATAAACAAACGTGCAATATTAATATTGCGAGACAACTCATTTTCCTCTGACCTTTCATACGTACCGGTTGAAGAAACGAAGGTTCCTCTCAAACAATGTTTATTTTTCAAATAAACTTGCTGTAATTATATTAAGTGAACGTCACCCTTATTTTTGCATGACGAATTTCCCCCTTGAATTTGATAATTTCAGCCGACATTCTCTCATCACATCGTAGGTTTTACATTAATTACATTTCTAAAAAATACAGTTTCTCACAGTTGAGCCTTGAAGGAGAGTTGGAAATATCCGTGGTCATTTCTAGCTTCGTCCACGATAAATCTGAATGCAAATTTGATCAAAGTCAAACATTTCATCCATATACTTCTTTCAATGGAGATATTCTTTACAGAAACGACGTGTAAGTTGTGCAATTGCGTTCTTAACTTAACTTCTCTTCTCTTAACTTGTGGTAAAAAACAAAAACAAACAATAAATAAATAAATACTCTATAATTTGATGAAAAAATGATAAATTATTAAAAAAAGGGTATATTTTTGGGATAACAGATCCCTTATGACCTTTTTAATGGCATATTAAGCACAGGGATTCACGATTTAAGCAGCATTGCAAAGGGCAAACATGGTGTCTACATTAATGACTTAATTAATTACATCGTGTTTGTTCGTTGCTGATGTTATGCCCCAAGTTCCAGAGAAAAATAAGACAGCAGAATTTTTCCAAATTTTCGTGCAGCATGTTTTTTCTATTATTTAATGGAGTGTTATTTTGACAATGAATACTTTTAAATTAAGAATAAAAAATAAGACTTGATCAATTTACTTAAATTTTTGTGTTTTAAAGTAAAAAAATAATGTAAAAAAGAGTAAGGGAGAAAAAAATTGAAGAAATATGTGTTAATATCCTCTATTCTCACGGCCTGTGCATGGGGCTAAATTAATTTACCGCCGACGCTCCAGAAAGAAACAGGGAGCAGATAAGATTTGACAGTTATTGACTTATTACTCTGATGGCCATTCATCATCGATTTGACACGCGGCAAACTTTTGATGGCTCCTTCTCCTTCTGCATCATTCGCGCAGGTGCCAAACTTTACAGAAATGCCACTTTTTTCCCTTTCGGTTCTCACAATTTTCTAGCCATATAGAGGTGTCATCAGCTAAGTTGACCATTGTTTACGCTCGGTTTGCAAGCGCCAATGATGAATTTGGGCCCCTGCACGAAGCGGCGTTCGCTACTATTTACCTTGAAAACATCCGTCTCTTGATCGTATCGTAAAAAAACTACTTTTCAGTCATGATTCGCCACTTTTATGTGTGTGATTTCTGTGTGGCTAAAAATTAAAGTGTTACAAGGTTTGAAAGTATTAAAAAACTTATCTAAGCTTGTGTTCTTGCATCTGCGAGAGTCGGATGTTTTCATGTGGATAGAAGTGACGCGAAAACGCTTGCAAACTGAAAGTAAACAATGGTCAACTTAGCTGACGACACCTCTATCTTTGTCACTTAGGCCATCAGCGAATGCATACTTACAATATGTCCATCTTCGGTAGGGGGGTTAATATTTAAATTATCAATACTTCGCTTCTTTGAGGGACGTAAAATGAGCCCATTGGAAACTTTTGACAGGAAAAAAATTGTGCTCCTGCTCGAAAATGGCTCAAAAATCAAGATAAGTACATTAACAAACCAGCGTGTTTATATTCACGATTTCTTCGCGTTGATAAAGTGCTCCCAATTGCGATTTGCGCGCTGAAGCGTCGGCTATGTTAGGTATTGCTATTGCAAAAGGGTTGAAGCGAGAAGCTCAAAAATACGCAAATTTCTTACGCAGATTGTAAAGTTAGGAGTGCATTTCAAACTTTGGCTATGCGCTCATCGTGATT